TAGGCAAATATCCGTTATTTAGGATGGTTCCCCCGATTCATAATGAGTTTGGGTAACCTATGACTCCTCCGACTTAGAATCACAACCTATGGCTCCACCAACTTAGAATTAGGTCAACCTATTGCTCCTCTTACTCAAAACCAATATGGTAAGCCTACGGCTACTCTGACTTATAACCCACCTTGACCTAATAAGGAATTAGAATCAAAAATCAACAACTCACCAACCTCAAAATCAGAACAGGATGATGCCTCTTTTCACATTGGACTACGGATTCAAGATCCAAATGACCATATGATGATGACGAGTAGACATTACACTGGATATGACGGTGATAAAAAAAAACTACAGTTAAAATATAAATTACGGTATATACGACGACAAAGAACTGAATCGGCGAAATTGAGTAACGATTTAAAAAAAAAAGGTAAAACATTAACGATTTTGCTAAGGAGAAGACAAAAGAACATTCGTTGAAGTTTAGATTAATTCATTATTTGAAAACCAATCGATTTTGTCCATTTGATTGCGCAATTCCATTATATTAACCAAAAAATTGGTGTGCTCTTGGACTATTTTTGTTCAATGAAATGAAGATAATTATTATTTTTGTAACATCACAATCTTAGATAAATAAATATACAGGTCCGTGCCTATAAGATAAAAAAGAGACATTTGTCTAGGGCCCCCAAATAATATATAATTTAGGGGCCCAAATTACATATATCATTCATACTTTAGTGGTTAAATTTACGTTAATGAGATCCTCCACCTCTTGAGTTCGGAACCCAGTTACTCATTTTAAGAATGTTTTTTTTGTTTGCAGTTTTATTGTGTTTATATTATGTTTTCACATTTTTTTTCTTCCAAGCCTTTTTGTATTTTATAATAGGTGAATACCTACGCATACAATTTTTTTTTTTAAGTATCACGTAATTATTTTGCATATACGCGTTTTAAATTACACATTATTTTTTTTTATATTATATTAACGTAAATACTTCTACTTTGTTTCTAACAAAAATAGATGTACTTATGTATAATTGACATTTTTTTTTTAAGTATACTTTAATTTTTGAATTCTTTTCTAAGATGTAGGACTTACCAACTTATATTTTGCTTTAGAAATTTAATTCTACATTGCTTTATTTGTTTGATTGTTATGATTTGTTTGATATTTTATCGTTTTCATAATATTTGCTATAAAACTTTACTTAATTAAAAAGTGTGTAATATATTAGTATAATTTTTTTTTATTAAACTTGTAATTATTTCAGTGAACTATGTTTCTATATTTGTTTTGTATTTAGTTGTTTCAAATTCTTTTCGTAATAGTAGACCAAACATATAATTAGTATGTGTGTTAAATTCAAGATTAAAAGTTTTTTTTAAGTAGTTATGTGTCAATTATGTTTTTAAGTATATTTTTTTTTAATTTTTTTTTCTAGATATAAGACTCACCAACTTATATTTTGCTTTATGAATTTAGTTCTAATTTAATTTATTTGTGTAACTATTAGGACTTGTTTGATATTTTAGCTTCTTATAATATATGAAAAATTTAATTAATTAAAAAGTGTTTAATATATGAGAAATTTTAAAAAATGTCACTTTTTAAGTGCTACTTTACAAAAATGCCACTTTTTCAAAATTATTTTTTCTTTATATTATTTATGTTTGGGTTAATTATGTTCTATTAGGGTTTAGTTATGAGGGTTTAGGGGGTTTTAGGGGTCAAAAATTTTTTTAGGGTTTAGAATTTTAAGATATAGGCTTTATAAATCTATAATTAGTGGCGTTTTTGCAAATTGACACCCCTAAGTGGCATTCTTGCAAATGTGCACACAAAAAGTGATATTTTTGTAATTATCTCTTAATATATTAGTATAAAATATTTTATTAAATTTGTAATTATTTCGGTGAACTATATAGATATAGATGTTTTTAGTTTTCTTATTTAGTTTAGAAATGAACAATGACTTTTTCAAATTCTTTTCATAATGGTAAAACCAAATATATAATTAGTATGTATATTAAATTTGAGATTAAAATGAAATTATAAAACAAAATTATGTGTCAATCATGATGTGGATGATGAGGTGGCACAAGGAGAAGTGAGAAAATATTGCTTTGTAGATATAGATTTCATAATAAATTATTTCTAATGTTTCTATTGGTTACAAATTTAGTGGTA